TTGATTCATTTAATGAATGTGGCATTTGCTTAACTGTCACTTGATGACAGTGGTGTTTGGTTAATGATTACTGCAAAAAAGGTCCAGTCCCATGGGTGTCTTGACTTAAAACCGCCATGACTTATAAGGGATATTCTGGGATCCATTACTGTCATACTTGAGGACAGTATTTGCCTGTACTGTTTTTTCCTTTCCTTTTAGAAGGTGTAAACTTCAGGAAAGTGAAAACTCTGCAGTAAATTGTATTTAAATAGAAGGAGAATGGTACTTTCACTCCTTGTCCCCAGCATTTACTGAACTAGGAACAAGTAACAAAATCCATTTTAATCTGTGGGTTTTGCTGCATGCCTAATTATTTCTACTATGCCCTGCTTCTGCTTTCAAATGGATCAGCCTTACTGGCCAATTATTCTGAAAATTGTGATGTCTTAGATTTTTAAAGAGCCATGGGTTCAGGAAAGCTATTCTACTTATGTTTTACTTTTTAAAGCCCTAAAATATATCCAATGTAATGATGTAGTGTTCTTTCCCATTCAAAAGAAATTAAAATATAATGGTCTTTGATACAAATACAGTATAACAAGAGTTGGAAGGGATCTTTGAGGTCTTCTAGTCCAACCCCCTGCTCAAGCAGGAGACCCTGTACCATTCCAGACAAGTGACTGTCCATTCTCTTCTTACAAGCCTCCAATGATGGAGCACCCACAACGTCTGAACTTTTTACAATTTAGGAAAGTGAAGAGCATAAAACTGCTTATACTGAGAGAGGTGGTTTGCATATCGTTTTGTTTTTCATGTTATTTTTCATGTATAGCTGACTGAGTCATAATCTAAAAGTTTGCAGCTACACTCTAGAAATTAAAACCAAAGAGCTGAGAACAGCTTGTTATTTGTTTCCTGATGTTGTGACCTAGGCTTTCTGAGTCATTAAAACACACGAACAGTCCCAAAAACCTCTTTTATTGCAACAGCTGTGAATTAGTTCATTCACAGCTGAGTCCCAATTAGTTGCAAAAAGTCCTTCGGGAGAAGTCCTTCAGAATAATCACCAACCTTTATCTCCCTTGACATTGCCAAAGACCTACTTGGCAAAGCCACACTGATTCCAGAATCAAACAGAGATGCCGACTGGGAACAGAATTAACGATGTTGCTTTCCTGCAAAGTGCCCATGTGCCTTTGTCCTCTTTTAAGCCTTATGGGAGGGGCCAATCATCTCCAGGCTTTACTCCCAAGTTGTCCCTTTTGTTTTAACTGTTCGTGCCTTCTGGCAGCTCTATGCATGCACGCATTAGGAACAGGCTCCTTCTGTTCCTCTGCCTCTCTGCTGTCTGACTCTGTAGACTCCAGAGTCTGTGCATAACTCCCAGATGGCCCTGGCCTCATCTCTGCCTCCGACGCAGAGCCCTCGTCTGGGCCTTCCCCAGACTCCAGGACTGGTCCATGTTCCTCCCCAGCCTCCTCACTGTCCGACTCCGCTGCCAGCTCCGCAGGCTGCTGGCAGACCACAACACCTGATTCAAGTTCTGAACACCAACTTCAAATAAATTAAAACAGGTGAGGAAAAGTGTAGGAAAGATAATGAGAGCATTGGAGGAATCCCACAAAATGATATTGGTAGTCCAACCTTAAGAAGAAAAAAAAGGAGAGATATTTTGGCATAGTTCAGTTATGTGGAAGGATATAAAAAGATGAAATGATCAAGATCTTTCTTTAGTTCCAAAATGCAGGACATTGACTCAAATTATGGGATGGCAGTTTCTGATTGGTAGGAAAAACTGTCTAACTAAGAAAAAAAGATTACATTTCTTTAGTTTCCCAGGAGTCTTTCATAATCACATATATCATCAGGTGGTATCAAATTCCATTGCATAAAGGAAGCCATTGCACAGAATTTATCTGCACATTTATCTTTTAGATCAGCCTTTCTCCTGCCAATTATCCTTTAGACAACCTGGGCTACATTTCCATCAACCCATGCCAGAAATGATGAGAACTAGAATCCAATACATCTGGACAGTACCAGGAGGTTACATGGTACTGATTTTATTTTTAATATAGGGAAAAATTCAAGTTTTTTATTGCTAAAAAATTAAAATTCTTTGTAACTTGATCACATTTTAAAATAAATCATAACCTACTGTTCTTATAAAATGTTCTTATCCATATAAGCAATTATTTATTGCTATTTCACTGGGCATATCATGCAGTCTTTGCTAGGGAAGCATGCAAAGGAATCATTTATCATTTGGGCTGATAGCTCCCACAATTTATCTCTTTCAAATTGAAAAAAGTTGGTTCCATATGTTGCAGAACTACTTGGATATACCGGTTTAGCAATTCAGTGCAGCAAAGAAGTTATCATTTGAAAGATGATATTTCGGGGTGATGATCTCAGAATCAGACTCTTTTTCATGGATTTAAATAAGAAATAATCCATGCATATATGTGGAACTCCCATTTTAATCTGTGTGAATGCACAAATTGCAAATGGCAGGAAAACAAGGTAATGGAAATTCTGTTAAGATGACAATAGCACGGTTCAGTGTTTCCAGTGCCATTGCTAAGCAACTATGGATTACTGGCAGCAATCAGTTACACATTTCAGGTCTGCTTCTTTAACTCCCAATCTGGCCGTTCTTAATCATTCTTCCCAAATGCATCAGATGGAGGAAGGAGACAAGCACAGCTAAACCAGTATATCCAAGTAGTGTATGATTGGTGATTGCTATGCTATTTAAAATGGTCTATAATGTTTAGCAGCAGAGGATGTTGTCTTTATCAGAAGTGTTAAAATTCACAACTCCAGTTTGATCAGTGAAATGGGACAGTAAAAAAAGAGTAGATTCTACTATTACGGAGAGAAAGGACATAGCAACTGCTGGCAGAAGACAACAAAGGATTGGAAGAGAAAACTACATGTCACAAAATGTGCCTATTGCTTCTTATTCTGACCTGTTGCCTTGAGGAGCAATGAAGGATTCTCTATCCTTATCACTATGGAAAACTTCCAAGCCAACTAGCTTTCAGATCCTGGTAGTGCCATTTTGCTTTCTCTCTCAGCAACAAAATAGTCCTTTATGCTGGGCAATTGGCTTTGGGACAGCTTCTCTTAATTTGCTGAAGCAGTCATGTGGCTGGAGTTCCTTAGGATTGGGGAGATGAAGGGCATGTGCTACTATAATAGCTTTAGGGATTGCTGGGGCCCAGCAGTTTCAGGTTACAACCAGCCTTAAAATCAATCAAGGCATCTCAATTTCCAGGTGTTCTTTTATGCCCCTCAAGTGAGGAAGAGATGGTATGAGTCAGTTTCAACCCTGAGCTACAAATATTCTTCTTTATTGGTACCTCATGTTAGTTAATCCATTAATTGTGTAGGAAGGATGTCTGTTATTTGTAATAATCCTTTGAATTGGAAAACAAGTCTAAGTGGTTTATGTAACTTGTATGAAGATATTTGTAAATGACATATATTCACATAAATAACAATTTGGACAAATGATACTAATTTTGTAATTTGCATCATTTGTATAATTACTTCATTAAGCAAGTGACATTAATTACTGCCAAGATTTGGTCTATTGTATGCAATACTTAAAGGTGGCTCAATGGCTAAGATGCTGAGCTTGTCGATCAAAAGATCAGCAGTTCAGCGGTTCGAATCCCCAGTGCCACCCCTCTCAATAAAGAGATGGTGGGGAAAGGAAGCAGCCAGGCTGCTGTTGCCATTGGGGTGGGACATGTCGGGCTGCGAGACACGCAACTTACCTCTCCAGCACCATCACATTCCTCGCCTTTCTGTCCAGGGAGACACGTTGTAGAAAAAACTTTCTCGCGAGTTCAAGGAGTTTGGCTGAACTCATGAGAAAGTTTTTTCTACAACGTGTCTCCCTGGACAGAAAGGCGAGGAATGTGATGGTGCTGGAGAGGTAAGACACGCGTCCCGTGGCCCAACACGTCCCACCCCACCCCAATGGCAACAGCAGCCTGGCTGCTTCCCTTCCCCACCGTCTCTTTATTGAGAGGGGTGGCAGGTGGGGTGGAAGGAAGTTTTACCATAAGCTACTGTGGTTATTTAATTTGATCATTCAAAAGAATTCCTTATCTTTCAATTACTAAATCACCTGATTTAAAAAAAAATCTCAGTTATGGTACAAGAGAATGTGGTTTTACTGGTTGCATGCAGGATTCAACAATGACTTGCTCCACATGCCGATAACTAGGCACAAGGTAGCTCTCTTCAAAAAAAAAAAAAAACCTCTACCTTGCACAGGAGAAAAAAGGGTGAAAGGGCAGCCTGAGCAATAAATGATTTCTTCCCTCAGTCATACAGATAGGAATGGGTGGAGGCTGCCTGCTGGGTGGTGTGCTGCCAAAAATAAGAATCAGTCTAACACCCTAGATAAAATCATTCTTGTTACCTAAACTTAAGAAGAGTTTGTACTCCTTTGCCAAATCAAGGAATAAGCTACTTTTTAAATTTTTGCTAGGTGATCATTTTTCAGCATAGTTCAATTGAAACTGATTGCTGATTCTATATTACAAACATACATGAAACGTTGATTAGCAAGTTGGGGATTAGAGTAATAAAAATTGAAATATAAATACAAATACAAAAATGCATCCAAACTATTGGGAAGAAGAGTCTGTCAGATATACAGTATAAGCTGCAGATTGCTAACCATAACTGATGATTGTACAGTTGGTGGCATCAGCAATAGGACTTGAGAGCCAAGCTTTCTACTGTGGGGAAAAAAAGCACACCGCTTGACACTATCATAAGAATAGATTTTACAAGAGTAATTACCTCTGTCCTATTGGGAGCAATGAATGCATATACAGTAGGTGATTGGAGTAAAGAGAATATGCAGGAAGAAAGAACCATGTTCACAACTGATTAAGCATAAATGTCAAAAGTTAATGAACAAGCTAGTTTGGAAAATATCTAAATAGAGAACATTGGAGTAAAACCTTTGGTTCAAAATGAAATGAAACGAAACAAACAGCTGAACAACTTTATTATTCAAGGTTAAAAGGCTATAAACGTTAAATGTTAAAACATTTTGATACAAGGTGCCTAAAATGTGTGTATGTATAGAAATGCACAAATGTACTTAAATCCAAGAAATAAAGTAATGTTAACACAATTTAAATTAAAGGCTATTTTCAAAACTTTTACATTGGAAATAAATGTTCAACTAGTGATGATTTTAAGCATCAACTACAATGAACTACAATGGTTAGCCCGACAAGCGTATATAGTTAATAACCTCAAATGGGCTAATCTCTATATAAAATGGTCTAAGTAGGACCCGGTATTATGAAATATACATTTGGAAGTTTATATTGTTTTGTATTAAGAATCCAATGAGATTTTCCTCCCACATTATGACACATATAGTCTCCCCATTATTGTTTATACTTTGAATAAGAGCTATACCAGGCTTCTATACCTATCCAGACTTCCATTGTATACATTGGAGATTAGCTCTCCTTCCCTCCCTTATCCAAATTCATATCTCAGCTATAGGATGGAAGAAAAAAAGGTTACAAATGTGAAGATCATCTGGAAGACACAGATCATATAATGTCACATATCTACAAACTTTTCTTTGGGAGTTGCCTAAACCCTCTGGAAATAGTTTATAAAATATGTTCATGGATTTGGTAGCTAGAAAACCATTGTGGCATAAAGTGTCAGATAACCGTCTCCTGTAAAAATAATTAAGTATATTTCAGGTAATCATATTTTTGTTTGACACATATCATGTCTTTTATCAAGGAACTCAAGGCAGCTTATAGTTTTCATTTTAACCCCATAACAAAACTTAGGAATTAAAGCGGCTGAAATAAAACAGCAGACTAAAAGTCACCTCGGATGTTTCCATAAATAAGACTTACCCATATTTTTTGGAGTATAAGATGCACTGGAGTGTAAGACTCAGCTTAGTTTTTTGGGAGGAAAATAGGGAAAAATTGCCTACCAGGTATTCATTTGGCTAGTGTCCTTAGTCTGGTTAGCTTCAGCACATTAGTTTGCTGTTTTTTATCCCCTGCTTGGAGATAAAAAACAGCTTCTAAAGCACAACTGATCTTTGGAGAGAGAAGCAATGGGAAAAGCAGGCAAATCATGGAGATCGCTTCACTCGCTAGTGTCTCGTTAGGGCTGAAAAAAAGCTTCACAGCTGAGAGTAGGAGGGAGCAGGCAAAGCATAGATTGCTTCACTTGCTAGCAACTCGTTATATCTGAAAAAAAAACTTCAAAAAAGCTACATTTGGAGTATAAGATGCACCCAAATTTTCAGCCTCTTTTAGGAGGGAAAAAAGTTCATCTTATACTCCGAAAAATACGATATCTGGAATCTGGATTTCTCCAGTCCTAGTTCACTACTTTAACTACTATTTCACACATTAAAGCACACAAAAATCTGGCAGTTTGTCATCTTGGTAAGGTTGAGAGCTCTTATTTCTGCTTGTCTTACTGATCCCAGATGATGGAGAGAATCTATTCCATATACACTCACAACTGTTTTGTAGATGACATTTAAATTAATTACAGTGCAACACTCACACTTTTGGGTATGGAGTCACTCTGCAGATCATGGTGAGAAGGGCCAATATTCACTGTCATCAAATGTAGTGATTGCTATTACATTGCCACTACATTATTTTAAAGGAACCAATTCATGGTCAATGCAGCTGTCAAAAGATGCTAGTCTTGACAGCTGTTTGATAGATTGCATACGTTGAATTCAGTGTTAGGGAGTAACAATGGAACGCAATAATCCCTCTCTTTCTCTCCCTGTCTCGCCTACATACACACCTACACACTCTTGTCCACAAAAGTGAGTTCCTGGATGCATCTGGTTCTTCAGGAATGCTGAACTCCATGAGCCATTTGTCTGCTCCAGCAGACCTGTTCTTATGCTACTTTATACTAGATTCCTAGTATTTCTGAGTAGTCAGAGTAATAAAATTAAAGATAAATTATTGTTTTGCACTAGTTATACCTTTCATCCTCAGAATTCATCATCTATTAACATATGAATGCTAATTGGTTGAGAAGGTGCTAGTGAGTTAGAGTTCGTCAGATATAGTTAATACTTGTATCATACATGTAATTCAAAATGCTTGGTTCAAAACTGCAACCAGGGCATTCTTAAGATTCTGAGGAGGGAGAGAATATTCATTTAAATTCTTCTATCTCACTGCACCTTACTTCAGTCTAATTTTCGCCATTGTAATTGACAGAATATGGGATAAACTGAAATAGCATTGCCATTATATTTTAGCTAAATGATTGTGTTGCCTTGAAAGAAAAATATTGATCCATGTGATTATTTTGAGCACTAAATTATAATTTAAATGGCACCTTTGTTATGTAAGAAAATTATCCACATCACAGATGGACTCAGTCTTTATAAATTAGGATTCAATTCACCTTCTACCTCCAACCAGGATTCTGCATATGGACCTAGTTTTGATTTAGCAAATAATTCAAAAACCAAAGTAGATCCCTGAAATTAAGGGTCCCTGTTGCACGTCTTATGGAAGCTGCAATTTGCAACTCATCTACTACACAAAATAAGTTGTTTTGCCACTATTTGTAAACCAAGTGGTTGGGTTACATAATGCCAAGCCAAAACTAAACCATGTTTTGACTTACTCTGCCAAAACTGGTCTTAAATACCCCAGGGAATTAAAGCTATATACAACCAATTTCTACCTACTGTACCTTCCCCCTCAGGTAGTACCTATGATTTATACCATAGTATTAGAAGTAAACTAGACTACTTTCCTTTTTTAAAAAAACCAAAAAGCTATGGTATGAACCCAAGTCTTATTAACCTAAGTTAAATCTGCTAAATTTTGACAGTAGAATTAATTTCATAGCAATTTCTGTATTTATTATCCTCCCCCAGTCTCAATTAATTGGAAATATCTGCTTGGTGTGGTACTCACTTGATTGCTAATACACTTTACATTTGCTCATATAGCTTAATCAACAGCAAATGACATGTAATTTAGATTGCTCCAGGACAGACATATTGTGAGGTTGTAGTAGATGACCTTAAGCACCTTGCAGGCTGATGATCCTACATGCTATGAAGGACAGGATTCTGGATCACAATGAAGGGTACACTGTAAAGCAATTTGCTTAAATTAGAGTATAAGGCTGGGCTGATATTTTGCACACCAGTGCCTCTGCATTGCAGTCTTGATATGAAAGTAAAACATTACATATATTTCTAACAGAAATAGCATTTCCTGGATCTCAGCAATAAAATCAAAGAACTGCTACTGCTGCTTACTCAGCCATATATATATATATATATATATATTACTTAATTAGCCAATACAAATCAAAGGTAGTGCTATTCTTATTTTGAAAGGGCCATAAAATACAGAAATCATTTACTGACTGAGAGAAACAGCACATTTAATATAACATCTGTATTAACTTCCCAGTTTGTCTTCGGTTCTCGTGGAGATTTTTTTAAAAAAAAAGATATATTTCTGAATGTATTTAAACTAAACATAGAACTGCTCTTACAAATATCAATAACTTTTAATTAACCAAATCCATTTATTTTGCTTATATTTCTCTCTGACCTTTATGTGTTCGAAGAATCTGAAAGTTAATGCTACATACATCTTTATCAGCTACAGACTGCATAGAAATAAGACAGAGCATGGGTTCTACAGCTACAATGATAGAATGGGTCTCTTTGAAGCATGCTTCAGATTATTCCAGAAGGAAGGGGGAAGTATAGATGAGTGGGATATAACTTTAGCTCATACTTTCCCCAACCTAGCTATTGAGTTTAATATAGCTGAATGTTAAAAGCCAGTACTTTTACTGTGGAGGATAACTGGTTAGTCCAACAAGCACATTGATGAAAGAGAATCACTTGTAATCAAATCATATTCACTCCTTCCCTGAACATTAAAAATCCAAAACTATACCTTTTGCCCACAATTCAATGAGAGCAAAACATACCTAGTGGTCACAGAATAACACTTGGAGTTTAAATTGACAGCAATGTCACTCAGCATTCCCAAGGTTCCCTTTTGATTAGTTCCTTTTCCAGAATTTAACCATTCTCCTTTCATTATCGTACATTCTGGATTAAAAGTTACCTTCACTGCTTATGTGGATGTGATATTTCTGAAACAATAACGTATGTAAAATGTAGTGTTTGTCCTTTCAATAATAATGGATTCCCATCATCTTTTCTCTGCTTCTCAGGCTCTAAAATTAGTGTTGGGATAACTTTTAAATCTTTTTAAACTCTTTAAAAAACTCTCACAAACACAACACTTCTCTGCTGAAAGACTTCCTTCGTTTCTTCCTATGAGAAATATTTTCAAAGACTGCCAAATTTTCTTGTCGATTTCAATGGCTTTTGTTCCTTCAAAAGTAGATCATATTACCTTCCCATCTCATTGGATAAGAAATAATTTTTTGGTGTCAGAGAAAATACCACCAATCCTAGAAATGAAAGAAGCGATCAGAGTGTGAACGGTTGCAGATTTGGTCAAAACTGAACTGGGACAGATCAGAAATGACATTCTTGTTGCAGTATTCTGATTTGCGCAGCTTTTCTGCTAAGAAGCCATGTTATAAAAAACAAGAAGATGCCAACGCCAGGAGGACAAAGGGACAGTGGGAGTAGCACAATCTGGCATTGATGCCACAGAGTAAAGATGCGACTGATGGTGTGGACAACCAGATTAATGATACCAATATTTTTCCTGACATAAAGACAAATGAGCAGTGCTTTAAACCGTTCCCGAGAAAATGGGTCTGGTTACATTAAAGGGAGGGTAAAATGGTATGTGGTGTAAGATTGGTGTAACGTTGGATTAAGCCACGATATCCTTTGGTCTTGGGACTGTTTTGTGGAGGTCACTTACTGAGTTCAACATGTTCTCTTCCCGGCAACTCTGGGAGGTCGGCTGAGAACTAATGGCTCGGCTAGGATTGCGCAGTGAACTTCCGGGCTGCGGACCGGGGCTGAACTGAATGCAGGTCCCGTAAACGCCAGCGATATCCAGCCGAGTTGGTAGAACTCCTGTGGAAAATAAACGGCCAGGCTACTTCAGAGAAAAGGTCACCCATCTCTCTAAGGGCGTGACGGTCCCAGGACGGGTCCCTTCCTTTCCCGGGGGCGAGAAGAGCCTGCTTGATTACAAAGCAGTGACGTGCAGAGGAACCGCGCCGGCCCCGCAGTGAAGGCAGCCACCCAAGTCGAAGAGCGACTCAGGGCGCAGCGCCGGCTTCGGCTCCCGCGGCGGGGCGCGGCTGCACCTGTCCCAAGCCCGCCCCTTCTCTCCGGGTCCTCTACAGAGCGGTGGCCGGTTGGCGGCTCTGCCCGCGGAGCGTCTCGCCGCGCCTGGTTTTTGGGTCTCTCTACCCCCCCCCCCCACACACACACCCACCTCCCAGGAGCGAGCATGGCCGGCCTATTCGGCAGCCTCTTGGGCTCTCAACTCGTGGCTCGGTTCCAGCGCCGCTGCGGGCTCTTTCCCCGAGGCGACGAGGAGCAGCGAGCTCAGGCGGTGGGGAAGGGCAGCCGGCTCCTGACTCCTCGGGACGTCCGCAACGGGCAGCGCCCGAGCTTTGGTCTGCCGGCTGACTGCGCCACCTGCAACGGCAGCCCCGGGGGCGGCTGGAAGGTAACGCGTTCGACGGGGGCGGGGTGCGAGAGGAGCCGGAGCTCAATTTGCAGCCCCGAACTCGGAGACCGCCTCCTCCTCCTCCTGTCCTAGATGGATACTGGAACCTTCTCGCCCGGTGGGGACTTGGGGGAAATGCCCGCTTCCTTAACCAGGTCAGTTTATCGCAAGGCGAGCGAGCAGGAAGCGTTGGCAAGCCGTAAACAAAAAAAAAAAAAGAGTCTCTTGCAGAGCCATGCCTTCCTATGGATGCTTCCCTTTTGGAAGCCCGCTGACTTCCTGTTACTGAAAGGGCGTCGGGGAGATAGGAACAAAATTGCAAACCCGCTACTTTAGGGACACAAATCTGAAAAGCTCTTAAGTGCTGTACTCTTCACGACTTTGCTGCTGGACAGCTTTGGTTCTCCCCCACCTCCCTCTTTGACTGGTTCACTTTTGGGTAAAGACTTTTTGGAGAACTGAAAAGCTGGCCTGCACATACAAACATACACAAATAGGCAAGCTTTTGAAATAACCCCCCCACCCCGCCACCCCAATGATAACAGTAATAACTTTCAGAAGTGTTTTGATTTTTGCCCAGATGTGGGTTGCTTTCTATTTTGCATCTAGGGAATTTAGAGGAAATGTTGATTTTCAACATTGCTTCTTATAATAATTAGACCTTAACAAACATGGTGGTGGTGATTAAATGAGCTGGTGAATTCAACGGTGGTGGCAATGATGATGACGGTATTTGCAGCGTAAAATCAGTAGAAGACAGCAGTTCATTCAAGTATATTGCAGTGGCCTGAAGACTATTCGATTCCAAATTACTTCTGACATTAAATAACATTTCCATGTTATTTATTGGCAAAGGTGTCTTAGTATGCCTTTATGTTTAGTAAAGTGGCATAAACACATCATGCTCAGCATGTTGTGTGCTACCAGCCTTTGTGCTTTGGAAACCATGATATAGGATTTAGCATGATGGATGAACCAAGACAGGTGTGTTGTATTGACTGTGGTTTAGGCATAATGTTTCAAGCTTGTCAGAGGATTGGATCTCAAAAAATTGAAGGGAAAGCACTCTACACTATACAGTTCAGAATGGACTCTTAGTATGTTGGTTTAGACCAGTAAATGGCAAATCCAAACAGCAAACTTTTAGTAGACAGAGAGTACACTTAATTTATTCTTTGCAAAGTACAGCTCACTCATTGAAATTATTCTGAAAATTTTGTACAATGGATCAAAAGGAGAGAATATACAGTTCATAATCTTTTTACTATGTAACTTGTATGTCTCCAGCATTCTTAGGCACATTCTTCTGACAAGCTAAGTCAGTGGGGAAGCCAAATTCACTTAACAACCGTGTTATTAAGTTAACAGCTGCACTGATTTACTTAACAAATGTGCCAAGAAAAGTTGTAAAATGGGACAAAATTGACTTAACAACTGTCTTAGCAATAGAAATTTTGTGGTCTCAATTGTGGTCGTAAGTCAAGTACCTGTACAAGTACCTGTCAAGTACCTGTACATGAAAATGTATGTAATATGTCTGCAGTTTCCATTTTCTGCTAGAGTTATTTGGATATATTTCCAAGGTTTGACCACTTTTGTGAGTCATGCATTTCCGTCTCTTCCCTATCTCTAGAGTCTATTGTAATTGGGTGGCTATTAAATGTAAATAAATATAAACTGAGGACATTTAAACAGATAATGATAATACTGTCATATAAAAGGAATTCTGGTATTAAAACCGGAAATTGGGCCTGGTGGCTCAGCAGACTGATAGCATTGTGATTAACACCAGCTGTCTGCAATTACTGTAAGTTCAAACATCACCAGGCTCAAGGTTGACTCAGCCTTCCATCCTTTCTAAGGTAGGTAAATTGAGGACTCAGTTTGTGGGGGCAATAAGCTGACTTTGTATAAATATACAAAAGTATGAAGACTATTGCTTAATGCATTGTAAGCCGCCCTGTCTACCACATGAGAGGGCAGCACTCTAACCAGGGGTTGGATCCTACCAGTTCGATTCAAACTGGTAGCTCCAATGATCAGCTGGGAGCAAACCGGTTCGCCCTGATGATAAGATGGGCCTACCCACCTTCCCGCACTACTTTCCTACCTTTATATTCTCAGCTGATTTGCACAGCAGAGCAGATTGCCACGCCTCAGCTGTTTTTCTCCTCCGAAGAAACGCGGAAGTGAAGATTTCCTCAAACGGTGCATGCAAAGCATGCGATTACTGAACCGGTTGTTAAACCAGGAGGATCCCACCACTGACTCTAACCATTACACATCTAACTGCAATAAATGGCTACACACAAACACGAAAAATAAATACATACAAGAATCCTACTTTAATCCTGTGGCATTCTGTTATTATTGCCTTCAGCAGTTTATCTTGAGTATTCATTTGAAACACATTCTTTTATAGTTAATTTAAAAAGAGGGAGGGAGGAAAGGAGAGAAGGAGTGAGTGAGTGAAAGAGAGGAAGGAAGGAAAGAAGGAAGAAAGGCATAACTGACTCATTTTCTCAAAACTCTGCCTTGTACTTCTGGGTTTTCTCTAAATTACATTCTTGTGCATGGATTATCTTTCTTTGACTATATGAAGACCAGTGTCTAAATAATTTAAGCATGGTATTAGGTAGAGAGTTTTCCACATCCTCAATTTTTTTTCCTACTAGGAAAATAATCTATTTCCCTGACCCATATAAATACTATCACTGTGCTTTCTAGTACCATCATCTTGAGTCTTCGGAGAAAGGCGGCATACAAGTTGAACAAATAAATAAATAAATAAATAAATCTTAAGAATAGTGATTAGTTGATTACAATAACAATAGAAAGCATGAATTTTAGCACAAAGTCAATAGGGAAGCCAGATTCACTTTGTTACTTACTTAACAGTTACAAGGATTCACTTAGTATAGCTATGGCAAGAAAGGTCATAAAATTAGGCAAAATTCATTTAACAATTGTCTCACTTAGCAACTGAAATTTGGGGGTCAATTGTGGTCATAAATCAAGGACTACCTGTACTTAGTAGAGAAACAATTGATGTCAGGTCATCCCCTGAACTTTATAAATAGAGCTGACTTGAACCCTAGATGTTCCAGATCTATAGTCAATCTATGTACACAGCAGGGGTGAAATCCAGCAGGTTCTGACAGGTTCTGGACAACTGGCAGCGGAAATTTTGAGTAGTTCGGAGAAACGGCAAATACCACCTCTGGCTGGCCCTAGAGTGGGGTGGGAATGGAGATTTTGCAATATCCTTCCCCTGTCACGCCCACCAAGCCACGCCCACAAACTGGTAGTAAAAAAATTTGGATTTCATCACTGGTACACAACCTCCCAATTCCAGGAATCTAGCTCCTTTTAGATTAGGTCTCTTCAGCTTGATGCTCAGCAGATCTATAGGGTAAATTGCAGCAGGGCTATTGCTGCAGTGATTTGGTTTGAAAGATCCCAGAAGATAAAGAAAATGGAGTAGAAATTGTCCATCTAGACTGTGCCCTTTCTGTAGTGTTTGCCATCATTTCCCCTGTGATATGCTGTATATCCTTAATGTGGCCATTTTTAAAATTGTGATTTCATTACTAATTCATACCATCTAACCCTGGTGTTTCTGAAATTAAAATTTTCATAATTTGTTCTCTTTCTCCCTGAGGAAACCTAGAGTTGAGCATAGTTTATGAAATACCTTAACTTTAATATGACATAGCAGTTCTTCATAAGCATCTAGCAAGTTGATCCCATGTTGAGAAGCCTGAACAGATGGAATCCATCTTCTGTTTTTCAAAAAACGTCTTCTGTATAATATTGCACTACAGTGTGATAGTTGTTAAAGACTAGTCAGAGTCTTTATCTAGGATGGATTCAACAGCTCCATAATTTTCTGATTTGCTGACTATATCCAGCCTATTAGTGAACATTTTGTTTGGTTTGGCAAAGCAACAGTTGGTCTTTGTTTTCACTGGCTGAGAATTGTGCTTCGAAGAAAAATAGAAGTTGGGAAAAGGAAGAAGTAATAGCAGCAGCAAGGAGGCCCTGCCTAAGGGCATCCAAATAACACACCCAAAATATCTTTTTCCAACTGTATTCTTTATGTTGAGCCATTAACATGTGCTGAAACTCAAACGTTTCTTCAGTAGATAATAATTAACCAATTTAGCTAAGCTGTATTGGTTTTAGTTGGAATTTAGTGGTTGTGATGATTGCCTACTCTTTATTTTCTTTCTTCCACTTTTTCCAAAGTGGAATAAACTTTTTATACATTGAAAGATTTGTATTGGGTAGCTTAACAAAGTGTTTCTCATTATATTTCCCTGCATGCACAATTGAATTGCTTTTGTTTCAGATTGACACGGTGTTTGTTTTATTGGCATTGTTGGCTCTCGCAGGAGACCCAAAATATCTTCTCTTCTTTTTTTCCTATCACAGAATTGAATGATGGAATCCTAGATAGACTAGGAACTTGCCAAGTAGGACAATGTAGGAGATGCTTGACTGGAAGATCTATAGGAGAAAAAAAATCTGTCAGTAAGATTTCAGTTACCAGTAATCCTCAACTTACAGCCACAACTGAAGCCAAAATTTCTATTGCTAAGTGAGACAGTTGTGACGTGAGTTCTGCCCCCTTTTACAATCTTTCTTGCCACAGTTGTTAAGTGAATCACTTCAGTTGTTAAGTTAGTAACATGATTGTTAAGTGAATCTGGTTCCCCGTAGACTTTGCTTGTCAGAAGGTTGCAAAAGGTAATCACATGACCCTGGGACACTGCAACCGTCATAAATAATGAGTCAGTTGCCAAGCATCTGAATTTTGATCACATGACCATGGAGATACTACAATGATCACAAGTGTGAAAAACGGTCATAAATTCCTTTTTTCAGTGCTGCTGTAATTTTGAATGGTCACTAACGAATGTCAAGGACTACCTGTATTAACTTCAGATAGTTATATAACTCCATCCTAATTCCTGATTCTTTTTTCTTGGTTCCTTCTT